ACACACACACACACACTGACCTGACCACAGGGGCAGAAGTGACTCTCCGTCGACCAGATTTGCTATCCACAATCCTCAACATGGGAGACAGAAGGTCCTTGGGCTTCTTCACCGGAGTCAGGGGCTTGCTGGGGGCTTGGCGCTCTGCCGCTCCCTCACCTACACACACACAGACACATAGATTGACACACAGATAGACATACACAGAGAAGCTCATTTTACACAGGGCGCTCTGCCGCATCCTCACCTACACACATACAGACACATAGATAAACTCATAGATAGACACATAGATAAACACATAGATAGACACATAGATAGTAACATAGATAGACACATAGATAGATACACAGATAGACACATAGATAGTAACATAGATAGACACACAGATAGACACATAGATAGACACACAGATAGACACACATACACACATACAGACGCACAGATAGACACCCAGATAGACATACATACAGACGCACAGATAAACACACAGATAGACACACAGACAGTTACACAGATAGGCACACAGTTAGACACACAGACGCACAGATAGACACACAGATAGACACACAGATAGACACACAGATAAACACACAGATAGACACACAGATAAACACACAGGTAGACACACATAGATAGACACATAGATAGACACACAGATAGACACACAGATAGACACACACAGTGATTCAATATACACCAGGCTCCCTCGCTTACACACAGATGCACACATTAAATACATTTTCCAATTTTAAGACAGGTAAGGGTTTTTACGCTCCCTTCGACAAACTTTAAATGATTTGTTAGGAGGCAGACTTCCGACCTTGCCTGTCAAGGCCAACCCAGGCTTAGAGAGATAAAACATCCCAGTAGAAACACCCAACTATAGACAGCGAAAGATCGTGTCAGTTTGTTAGTCTTTGAGCTCTAGATTGGCACATTGCATTGTATGCTTCCCGGGTAACAGAGAATATTTCTGAGTGTTCTCGGGCCTGTTGGGGTAATGATAGTTGTAAAGTACGTAGAGCTTGCTTTAGAGCGTGGATATGTGCTCATCAAATGCCATTTATTAACAATAAGTATACTTTGACAACACACTCTACGGAACATTACAGCAACTGCAACAAACCTGCACTTATCACTACATGGCATTGGACAGAAGGGCGAGAGCCCAGCTGTTGCAGGATCGATAACAACAACAACAAGTACACGAGAAAACACTGACCTAGTACAGCCGTGAGCGGCCGGCAAGGGCAGGGTTTCTTGGGCGGTTTCCCTGTGACAGATGCGGAGCTTGGGCGTGCCGCCATGGAGGCGGAGCTTGGGCGTCCCAGGGAGGCGGAACCTGGGCGTGACGTCTTTGGGGAGGCGGAGCGTACTGAGCCATTGGTGGAGGGGCGGATACCTGAGGGGAGGGGAGTGGGAGAGAGAGAGAGAGAGAGAGAGAGAGAGAGAGAGAGAGAGAGAGGGAGAGAGGGAGAGAGAGATTAGACCACGATCTGGATTCTGATGAACTGGAACATTTGACTATTTTTACCCTATTTCCGCTGGAATCCCAGAAGATAAACTTGTAAACTTTCATAATGTTGATGTCACTCAAGGAAAATCTAGATGTACAATAGTTTTTGGGTTGGTAT